ACGAAATATAATGTAAAAAAAAAAGATGAAGTTCGTTTCCCAACATGGATCCTGAGTCGAGCGAACGACAAATAGTTTTATTTCCGTCGCCTGCATGACGGGATAAAACAGGCGAAACGAGAGCATTCGAGCATTTCTTAACGACGGATGACTCAATGAGAAGTTTATCGCTTCATTTTTCTGTCGATCATATTTTAAGGCCTCCATTACACGATGCCTCGAACCCGATATTACTTTTGCATTATTCCGATTCTTCGCCGCGTATAAACGCGAATCGTCCGCCGTCCGTGAGAAATGTCTGCCGGCGGAAATAATTCGGTGTTAAATTGGCGAGAGAGAGAGAGAAAGAGAGAAAAGAAGTGAATTAAGAGAGAGATGCTTTCTATTTCTTCGTGGCAGAAGTTAAGTTACGAAGAAAATATTATTTTGGAAAAATGTTATTTCCAAATATGCGAAATTGACCCACTGAAATTTCGATTGTTAATGAGACAAGTCTAAAGGGGAGATTTTGCAAATGTAGTTTGCAGTTTGAAAAACTGTTCTATCTCGTATTTACATCGTCGGATTTCAGGTTTGAGGACAAAGTTTACGTCGAAAACGGGAAAGTTTATCTTGTCAGCGCACTTTAATCTCTTCTGTTTCCTTAAGTTTGAAGTTTTTGAAGAATGTTTTTAAATTCACTCTCTTCAGTTTGTACGGAAGTAAGACGGTAATTTTCTTTGGTTTCTGCTCAAAGTATCTTGTAATCGAAAAATGAAATTTCTTGTGAAACATCTTGTACGAAGTTGAGCGATTAAATTTTTTTATTACGTGATATTGGATCAAATATTCACTAAAGTGTATTTTTAAACACACTTGTTTCAAGAACAACCATATTGTCTTTGTTCAATTTTACATAAATTTTACCTAAAGAAAATTTTACCTAACTAAAATTACCTAACTGACTATTAATTACGAATAACAAATTATTCAAAATTCTCAATTCTCGTTCTGCGTTTCACGAATCAATTTAAAAAAGTTCAATTATGAATAAATAACAAATAAACACGTACCTCAAAAAATTTTCCACGGAAGAATTCTCGAAAACGATCCACCCCACAGCTTCCACATCGTCACGTCGTGCAATCACGATTGCTCGTGGCTTGATTTATCGGAAAAATCGTCACGGAAAAGTCACGAGGAAAGAGAAAAGGAATTGTGCAAATAGGCAACAGACGTGTCTTCGATGCGAGAGGTGTTGCCTCGTTGGTGCCAATCGAAAGACTAAGCGAAAGGGTTAACATATTCCTGAATACAAAACACATGCATATTCTATGGGGTCCCATGTGCGTCTCCTACCCCGAGATACTAGCCCTATCTTAGTGTGCGTGCACACGCACGGGGCCCAGGTGGGGCCCCCCCTTCGACACGCGTATGGAAAACGAGGCACCGTGGCTACCTGAATCCTCGATCTCGCGCCACCGTGGAAAAAAGAAAGGAAGGTCGAAATGGCTGGAGGCAGTCACCGCGTGACAACTATTGCTTATCGTAATGTGATTTTCATTTCGATGCCTGGATCCTTTTCGAACGATTATTAATGATCGAGAAACCGGAAGAGTCTCGTTATTCGGCGTAAAAAATTCCATTCGACTCTCTCCGCTCTTCGAGTTGCACTCATCGAATGGTTGGCTGTTCGAGAGAATCGAGATGATATTATGAGATTCGATGGGTAATTATAGAGAATTAACGAGAGGAGGGGAGACGGTGACGGATGGAATTGGAAGAGGAGAGGGATGAAATCGATAATTTTGGTAGGTTTTTGAATGATACTGGATAGATAGGCTACTAGATAGATTGAAATAACAATAATAACATTACTTGAATTACTTACCAAATGTTTTCTCAAGAAAATTTCGAATCCAACAGTAAACTATAAAATAATTAATTCAAACTTCGATTAACTATTTAACTATCACAAAATTGCGTTCCAAGAGTCAATTCATATTTCATAGAGAAGACGAATCCAACGAATCCTCCCTTTACAAACAAACAACCAAACAATTGAATCAACAATTGGAGCCATCATCGGTGTCCTCGAAAAATATCCAACCGAGTAACTTTATTAAATCCGAATCAAACTCGTTTGAACCGTTTCCCTCAAAACCGAGGCCCGATCCACGTACCTGAACCTCCCCGCGGAAAGCTTGCCTGCGTTGAAACTTCCGGCGAACTGCGCATTCGTGGAGTGACGTACATCAGTCCCCGGGTCAGATTGAAAAGGAAAACGAGTATCCCAGAGTGCTCTCGAAACGATGCAGGCTATCTCGAAATCGCGGCGGCACCCATCGAGTGGCCCTCCAAGATAAAGATCAAATCGTACGAGGCAAAGGTGCGAAGCCCTGCCACGCATGGCTGACCGCATTGTTCGTTCCTGTGACGTCTTAACTAAGTCCTAGCCGCGCTCGTATAGAATGGTAGGAAAGCGGTCGACGAGCGAGGGAGGAGGACAGATAGCCTGGTCGACCTGGTTTATTATATGGGGGGCACCCATGGTCAGGAGATGGCGAGTTTTCCACATCTGTCGCGAGGTTGTCCCTCGAAACGAGTTAATACGATTGCGGGCCCTCGAACGGGATATCTCGATTCGATTCGCGATAAGTTGAGCGGTGGCCATTTTATTTGCATACACGACGAACCTGAAATCGAGATTCTGTGTTAGATGAGGAGCGAGTTTTGGATTCGTGTTGGACGTGTTAGAATTAGTGGAATGTTCCTTTTTTATTTTTTTTTATTTTTTGTTTTCGAAGAGCGGTGAAAGAGAGTGAAGTTGATGGTGATGATCGTGGAGGGATGAGATGATTGTGCTTTTCTAGTTTGGGATCGGTATGCGAATGTTTGAGATGGCTTCGATGGTTGTGGAACGGTGGGTATGTGACGAAGAGGGGGATTTTTATCGTCGATGGATATTGTAAGAGTAATATTGGAAATGACAATTATAATTTGAAATAATTGTAAAAGAATGAAATTAATTTTTAAGTTATAAAATTGTTATAAATTATGAAGAATGTTTATATTAGAATTTAAAACTAGAATAATAATGTAATAATAATATTAAAGTATCAAATGTTTTCCTAAATAAATTTTATATTTTCAATAGAATTATAAAACTAATTTAATTTATCTAAAGATAAAATCCAAAAATTTCTAAATTAAATAACAAACAAATTCAATACCCATTCCAACTCTTCAAATTTCAAACATTCCAAATCGATTTTCAAATAAACGTAATAACTTTCTTCGCTAAAAACTCGAAAGAATCTTCAATGAAAACGACCCTAAGAATCACAGCATAGCTCGGGAAAAAATCCACGCGAGAAATTGGGTCAGGTAGATCCTCCTCAACTTATCCCCTAACTCTCTCAATCACCTCGTTCGATCTTCGATTCCACGTTGAAAACGGTTACCTGTGCCGATCGGTAGTGCTCCCCCTCTCCTCTAATGTATTAGTCAAAACCGAACACCCGTCACAATGGCGCTGATTACTTTAATAATGGAACAGAATGGCCCCGGGGCTGGTGGCTGGGTGTTGGGTTTTCCTCGCGGGCACAATGCAGCTCGCGAAGTATACAAATAGAAAGAAAAAAAAAGGGAAAAAAAAACGGAAGAAGAGGAAGGAGAGGAGAGAGGGAGAAAGGGGCGAGAGGGAAGCTTGCGTCAACCCCTCGAAGGACATACCCCGTCTAGTTACCCCTTACGAGAATATTCAAATCGCAACCCTTTCGACCGTGAAAGGAGACTTCTGCCTTCGAACCCTTCGATCGGATTCAATGGGCATCGATATTCAAATTTATATTCGACGCGAGGTTCACGCGCTCTTCCCTCACCCTTTTTCTCAGCCGGTCGAGGCCACGTTCGCGCCCTCTCAGCGACGAATAACCGTTCGTCGTATTCAGTTATTGGGGTCGACGAGAGGAAGAAAGAGAAAGGGATGGAATTTGCATTCTGCTTTTTTTTCTTTCTCTCTCTCTCTCTCTTTCTCTCCTTTCTTCTCTCTTTCCTCTCGTTCCTCCTTTCGTCTCGTTTGTTTGTATTCGATATCGTTTCGTCGCCGATACTCGCGAAATTGGAGCGGAAACGACGCCGGCAGATGCAAGGAAACCTTCGAATCCTCGTTCTCGCCCCCTGTGACAGATTCCGCGTTCGCTAGAATACGTCCCCCTCGATCTTGAGGAAAGCTTCTTCCAGGGATAGAAATCGTCTCAGGGGTGGAAAATAAAGGGACAGGGGGAATGGAATGATTTAACGTACCGATGTTTCGTTTTCGTATTTGAATACATATAGAGAACCGTGTCAATGTGTGAGTGCGATACTCGTGCGATTTCCGTTGCTAGCTCGAGTTAAGTGTGATATATCGCGTTAAATTTACAAACTCGAGGATGTATAAATTTTAGAGAAAAGTTTAGAATATTTGGATGGACGGATTTCATATTCAACGATTATTCGTATCTTATACTTTATCTTTACTATTAATTTAATTCACGATCTCGTTATATTATCCCAATCTCTTCTCAAAAAAAAAACCCCTCGAATCTCTGCGAATCTAATTATTAAAACGCAAACAAATTCGTTCAAACTTCTCGTACTTTACTAAAAAAAAAAAAAAAACACCCTCGTCACAAAGCGCAATTTCTACCGATTTCACCCCCTTGAAAACACGAACGTGGAACATCCGCGGAAGCGCGAGCTGCTAAATATTCCACGGAGCATTGTAGTACCGGTGGGGTAACAAGGAGACGAGCTCGAGGAGTAAAGACTTCTCCAATGGAGGAGGAATAAGAATAAGAAGAAAAATAAACGAGGAAAAGGAGAGGAGCAAGGCAGCGAGCAACTGCTGGGGGAAAGGAAGGGCTGGGGATTGAACTCGATGGAACCGCGAAGAAAACGAGGCCACGGAGGGGGGGCGTGAGGGTGGGTGGAGGCGCGAACAGGAAGGAGAATAAGAAGAAAATAATGACTCTTACTGAGTCTGGTGCTGCGGCGGCCGAGTCTGCAGCGTCTGAGGGGGCGTCGCGTAGGAGGAACAGAGGGGGAGGAAGGGGAGGAGAGGGGGGAGGGAGGCGTCGTCGGCGTGTCTACGGCCGTGACCCGGTTTTTTCCGAAGCAACAGGTCCCTTCTAATTAAGAACACTTAAGAAAACTTCCCTCTTAAAGCTAACGCCTCTCCCTTCGTTCTCTTCTCGGCTGATAACGCCATTATATTTTAATAAAGCCAGGCGAGCCGTCTTCCTAGCTCGCTCTCCGCCAACCCGTTCTCTCTCATCCTGCTTCTCCTTCTCTCTTTCTCCTTCTGTCGTTTTAATCTGTCTGTCTCCTTCTTCCGTCTTCTTTCTCGTTTCTTTTTCTTCTTCTTCTTCTTCCGCTTGGAAGAAATGCACTGGGAAGGATGAGTGGATCGGTAGAAGAGTATGGCAAACCACTTTTCGGATTCCGGTTCGGGGAAACGGGTGGAATTTTCTTGTGATTTCTTTTTTGGGGGGTTGTGGTAACATGAAACATAAAAAAGATTATATTAGAGATTAGATTCAGGTTGTTGGTTTCAGGAGAAGAATTTTCTTTTCGTTTTTCACGTAAACGATAATTTAGATACTTCTTTGTCTGCTCATGGATGAATATTATTAGTAGATTTAACGATTACTTTTACGTAATGAAATAATAATACAAAGAATCATGGCTCTTTCTCGAGCAAAATGAAAAGTAACTTAAATTTTTAATAAATAATATATATATAATATATAATATAATAATATATATATATAATATAATATAATAAATAAACGTTTGGAATTTTTGTGGTTGGAAACTAAATTTTGTTAATACCTCGAAATCCCATGATAAAGATAAACCCATGAAACTCAGTCCATCGTACTCAACTCACAATGCAACGAGAGAATCCCTACAAATAATATACGATAATACGATCGTATTCTCTTTATCGTATCTAAAAAGAATTCACAATTCCAAACACGATCGAATATTTCCAAAACTACCCCATCGTTCCCGATACTCAAGATACTACAACCGAATTGAGATTCGCATTCGACGATAGTTCTCGCGCCGGTAATCTCCCGATCCATCCACATTCACATCCCGTTTTAGCCCGATTTCCGGCGAATTTTCGCTCGCGCGCAACCCCCTCGATCCATCCACACTCGACTCGGCGCGAAAAGAAAATTATCGCTCGCGCGTGTTTACCCTTGGCATTGCATCCCTCGCGATGCACTCGACGTGCCAATAAATTCCACGGTTTCGAAATAAGAGTACGCACCCCAGGGTTGGTTATTTTTCCTCTCTCTTTCCTTCTTTCTTTTTTTTTTTCAAGAGACACCCATCCCTTGAAAAGTGTTCGTTCGAAACACACCCTCGGATAGAGAGAG